TCGAAGGTAATCCACTTCCGGAAACGGCTATGAGAACCCTCGATGGCCAATGGCGCGTACCCTTGCTTGCCGAACGATCAGATCACGGACAAGTATCGACTTCTCTCTTTATTAATTCATCGCGGGCTTCTTCTCTCCATCTAATGGATCTATAACACCATTGTTAATGTCCTTTCCTTTTCAATCATTTTTACGCGATCTTTCACCGGATTAACAATTTACGTCGCGTCAACGCATTGGACAGTACGTTTTGCCTCAACGATTTTGTCGACACAGCATGGGACACGCGATACTACGCGCTAATCGAAAATGAACGTTCTCGACGTTCGTTATTAGCATTAGAAAATCATTTATATCACCGATGGATTACGACATTACAAACTAGCTGACTCTGAAAAACTAAAAATGATCGTAACTATGATTGTGTTTTCCGCCATTTTCGATGTTCGTTGTTTCCGTTAGTTCGATCAGCAAAGTTTGAACCGCAACTTTGACGGCGTCCGATACATCCGAATACGCGGCTTCCGTTTCACGGCATGACAAGACACGACACCGTACACTGTTCCGTACCATAGCAGAGCGCCTCGGGAAACTTATATACGTGATTTGTGGCCTAACCTCCACCTCCTCGGTCCGTTCCACCAGATAAATTCACTTGGATCAATTTTTTAGCGGTTCACGAACAATCGCGCTCGACGCTCGCGTCGGCCTAACGCGCGCTCGCTCGTTCGCTCGAGATACCATGAAATATTGACCAACCGTACTTCGAAACCGTAACTCTCTATCGCTTCGAAATTGCTATTTCGTTCGCAAAGACGCGTATTTACGCGTTGTGCCATTTTTCATTCGCGAGTGTCGCCTTTTTTGCCAGGTTGCTGCTCGTTCGAACTCGTTAAACGAATACTCGTCAACTTTCGAAATTTGTGGGAGTAAAATGTAAAAGGATTCGAAATTAAAGTTCGCTTTCGAAACAAAGCGTTAACTCGTTACTCTTCGAGGCGCTCTTCGAGAAACAAAGAGTTTCGATCGATCGGTAATGGATCCGTCTTCCTCTATGATTGGTCACTTTTTCACTCGTCAGGAAGCTACTTCATTATCCGCTAATTACCTATCTATTGGCTTGAAACGTTCCCCTTGCCCTTCGACCGATCGATCGATTCTTTCTCCCTCGTCGTCCACTCGGAGAACGATGGCACCTCGTTTCATCCGACGAGTTTTCGAACGATATTCCTCTGCACCGTTAAAGTCTTAATCGGGGCGTTACGACGATTATCGCCTCGTTACGTAAAAAATCACGGTTACGTAAGCAACAATAACGGTAATCGACGGAAGTTTATCAGGAGTCTATTAAATGGTTCCGTAGAAAAGGAGCGTAGGATTCTCGTCCGCATGAGCGACGATATCGGAACCATGCCATCCAGAGCAGATTCTAATCCTGCTACCAACGGCATAATTATCGAGCTGTTTCCGTGTTTCGACGTCAGTCAATGTCGCTGACCGGTCCCTCCTATTCGATGGTTGCAATTTAGGTCGGAGATAAGCACGCAATAGCGTCGGCGGTAACAATGGACGGATGCTACGCCAAAGGGGACCGTTATGGGAGGACATCCTCCACGAGACCCCAAGATGTTCGATACAGTATCGGGAGTAGAAGCGTAGCTCGCGTTTAAACGCATCGTCGCCGAATTTTTATCTCGAAAACGATATCTGCGTCGCTGTAAGATTCTTTTATTTCGATAGACGAACGATCGAATAACTAAGGCATCTATCGACTCCGCGATAACGGACAACTTTCGGGATGCAATCAACGCTGACCCTTCGACACCGGTCGAGATATCGACGATCGGTATCGCGTGTCTCGCGTATGCTATTTGGGTCGTAAAATATCGTTGAACGTTAGCGAATCGTTATCGAAGGGTCATACGTTTTGCGTCGAAAACGAATTAATGTCTAACGCGGCGGTCGGACAGGAAAGCCCTGGAGAGTCGAAGAGAGAAAGAGAGATGGTAGAGGAAGATTGGTCGGGGTATGATTCCACATAGGAAAATCAGAACGAAATCGCTCTGGGCTAGCAGGTTGAATCAAATGGCCGCTTATTAAACGTTTTCCGCGTGGAAACGTTACAGCCGTATTTACGGCGCGGCGTCTGCTTCTGACTGCTTTTCACCGCGGTCGAACGCTTTGCACGGTCAAATCGATAATTATTCGGAGCAGTGGCGCTTGTTCTCTGAAGCGCTTTCGAGTCGACCAGTTCTCGCCGGTTGGATAGGTCGCGTGAAATCGCGCGAAATCGTGCGACGAGGACGAGCCTTCTGAAAAACAGGCGACACACCGGACAAAAGGTTTCGTTTATGCAATTTTTTTTGTTCGAACTAGCGGGATACGTTGCTTTCGCGCAAAATGAACGGGATCTTAAACTTTTTCAAATAAAATAAAGCGCTTCGATAATATCTTTCACGGTTTCCTAAGTAAGTTTCTGCATAAAACAGTCTATTAACAATGTAATAAGTGAAAGGTAGTTTTAATTATGAACGTGTTCGGTCGTCGATCGTTGTTCGTCGCGGAAAAGAAGAACGATGAATGGCTGTCGAGTTAATTAGACGAATAAGATGATCCTCCTTTTTCAAACTTCTCGAACGATGAAAGAAAAACCAACTGAGCGTTCCTCTGCTTTTCTTTTCCAGGTGCGGAAGATGTGTTCAGGTTTACGGGCAACGAGACGCACACAGACTACTTTCGGCTGATGTTACGGGATGGGAACTATCTTCTGGTCGGCGGAAGGTAAATAGAAGATTCATTTTGAGCGAGTGCTTTAATTAAAGGACCGCTTCTTCTTCTTCTCCTTCTACTTCTTCTTCTTCTGTTGCTGCTGCTGCTCTTCCTTCTTTGCTAGACTGCTTCGAGGGTCCTCTTTTACGATCGACGCATCGTCGGAGACGGCTGAGGTCCTGCCGACAAGTATTATTAGATCCCAGCTAATGCACCGAATAGAAATGATATTCGTTCATCGAAATCTCTACCGCACGAAGCGAACAATAGTCTATTGTGATTCGCGTTACCGATTGCCATTATTTTTAACGAAATTCATTAAACTATTAAAATATTGTTTATTTATTCAACTGCAATTTCTCTGAACGTAATGTTTAATTATCAACACGAACGTTCTTCGAATCGAAATTCAAAGGATTTCTCGTCCATTGTTTATCGTAATCGAGAGCTTACCGTTTCGCGTGAATCGCGGTAACAAAGGATACGTGTAATCGTTGCCGTGAAACTTGAGCTTTAAATTGATACGGCATAAGTGGTACTTTAGCATGTTTTCACGCTATTATTGATCACGATATTATCACGTGATATTGAATAGGAATAGGACCGTTATTCGAGAATAAACGCGCGGACTATTTTTCTGGATAAGGCTAGTTTCTTACAGATTTTCTCGACCTTTCTTTTCTTTTCCTTCTTCCTTTTCCTGCTCCTTATTCCCTTTTCTCTCCCTTTATCCTTCTTCCTCGATTTCTACTTTCCTCCGTGCTGGCTATGAATGCCAAGAGCGGCTACGGAACGCTGTTCTTCGCTGTTAATGAGATCGTCGAACTTTATTTAGAAACTTCTTTGTACGCTTTATTCTACGAGCCTTCGAATCCCAGGCACAGCGGGTAAGTACGACTTCCTACCGAGAAACTTAGTAAAAGTTTTTGATACGGAGCGAAGGAGACGAAATTCGTAATTAAAACGCGATATGCAACGCAAAATCTTGAACGCGTTCTCGCGCAATATTTAGGTGGAAAAACGATTACGGAATCCCGCCAAGAGTCCAATGCATCGTCGCTTATCGGTATTTATTCGGATCGATAAATTTCCAAGTTTCTGTTTCGTCTGTGTGCCAGAGGGAAGGACAGTGGGATTCTTAAGTTCTAGAACCCGGATCTCTCTCTCTCTCTCTCTCTTTCTACTTTTCTCGAATATTAATCTAGTGCCTCATAAATCCTGGTCCGCTCGTAATAAACGATTCGTGCTGGTGTTGTTCGCGGTCCCGTTGCTCGCGGTCTTTCGATCGACGTTTTTGCCGTCAGATTCGACGCAACGCGAAAGGACTGTGCTACGTTTTCTGGGGAACCGATGAATTCTACCGATAACGGGACGGGATCGAGTAAAAGGACGGTGGCACGGTGATTAATGCGAAAACGGTAGTATCCTTCGGGGAAAAAGCTCGTGAATCGAGCAGGAGAAATATTCGAGAAAATTGAGAAAAAGAGTAAGCGTTGGACTATCGATTCGAAGTAGCCGAGTGAATGTCACGGTGACGCGTGATCTATCAAGCGCAATAATTACCGCTTCGATGTTCTCGCGTTTCCTCAACTTTTCGACTTTTATCCGCAGAATCGTTACTTTCCATAACGCAACGACCAAATGCTCGCTGAATTTCATCGATTCGTATTTAAGCGTCGTTTATCTTTCGTTTCGTTTCAGAAATCTCGTGCACAACCTGAGTCTGACCGACCTAACCGAGCAACAAAGGCTAATTTGGTACTCGACCGACAGCGACGTAAAGATGTGTCTGATGAAGGGCACACCTGAAGAAAACTGCCAAAATTATATTCGCATTCTCGTGAAGACCGATACGAACATGTTGTTGGTGTGCGCGACAAACGCGTTCAAGCCAATGTGTCGCGATTACGCGGTACATCCTGGCAATTACACGATGTTGAAGGAGAAAGGTGGTCAAGCGATGTGTCCGTACGACCCACGTCACAACAGCACCTTCGTCTACGTGGACGGGGAACTTTACACCGGTACTGTGGCGGATTTTGCGGGCATGGATCCTATCATCTACAGAGAACCTCTGCAAACGGAGCAGTACGACTCGAAGAGCCTTAACAGTAAGCGAAACGATCAATCGTAATCGATGTTACTCGAACGGACCAAGCGCGATTACTTTATCGAAATAATTTTCGCGCGAGTCACGCCTACGAACCGATCGCGGTTAAAGTTTAAATCATCCTATGACGAATAGCAGCCATCCATTAAAAATTGATTAAAAATTGAAACAAGAATCACGCGATTTCGCCGAGTGCTTTCGGTGGTGAAAATTTATGATTCTGTATACAATGTACATTGGCCGACTACCCGCTATCAACGGTAAGGGAGAACTTTTCATTCGCGGATAAATTTCGAGTGGTCCGGTATGGTTAACCGCCCGACTTTCGAATATACGTACAACTTGCTTCCGTTCGTGATCGGCCGCGATTATCGATAACACACCGGCCGTTGGAAAATTCTTAAAAGATTATATTTACGCAAGGAAGTATGTTCACGAAACGTAGAATATTCGTCGGGTGCTCGCGAAAGTTGGAGCGACAGTTCGATTCGGTATTTACGCGAGAAGTTTCCGAGACAGACTCGACTTTGAAAATCCTGGCCCCGAGCCACGGGGCGAGAAATTACTCAGAAATGTCGCGATCGGCCACGGCAACGACCCTGCACACCGGCTTTAATCCACACGCTGTAATTCCGAGATTAACCGTGCGTGTACGTGGATTTCGCAGACTACGTCCTCGCGCAGATTACTCCACGAACCCCCCCTTCCATATCTGTGTAATGACAAAGCAGCGCACTGCGTTTCTACGCTCGTTCACTGCGAAATATGCTACGCGCGTCTCCCGTCTACGTACTTTGCCCAAGCGACGATGGGAAATTTTAATCCGGATAAAAGAACGACTTGTCCGACGCGACGGTTCAACGATTCTGTCCTGAAACCCCTTTTTTCTTCTGGATTGTTATTATTAACCCTTTGTACTTCATCGACAACGTACACGGTTACGAGAGCTTCCGTGTTTTCTTATCGGCGACGTTGTTGGATCAGGACTTCCCTCGCGTCGTACGCGGTAAAACGAATCTAGTAGTCTCGTCTTACTTACGTTGGTACAAAATTGAAATTGACGTTTCGATGACTACGATCAGCGTGTCTCGGTTAACGAAGAGAGAAAAAATGATTCGACGCCGTTATTTGTCGTGGCCACATATTATATGGTACGCCCTGTATTACGGGCAGCGGCCAGAATTACGACTCTCTCGAGAATTCGTCGACAGGTCGAATTTTTATTCGATCCGGCCACCGCACCAGCGAGAAAGAATTATAGTTCGGTTACCGAGGGATGACGCGAAGAAACGGCAAATTTTTACGAGATCACCCCGACTCCGACTCCGCGAAACAGACCGATAAACTGGATACGTCACCTTGTTCCAGGGATTCGATCGTTCGCTAGAGCATTTTAATTGAACGATGTACGAACGCTAATCAAGTTTCTCTGGCCGCTGGATAATATTGATTTTTCCCCCCGGTTCGTTGAAAATTCAATTCTCTCTCGCTCGCCCGTTCCTCTTTCTACCGTTTGTTGCCAACGAAATAGACCGAGATACAACCACCGCGAAAAATCGTGACAAAGCCGATCGCGAACCGCGAATATCACCCACAAATCTCTGCGTTGATGTGTACGGTAGTCTAATACCGCGCGGATGTATTCTTTACTCTCTAGCCCCGCTTTTCCGATTAACTTTCTCTCTTTCGATCTTTATTGCCAATTCCGTTTTTTTTCCCCTCCCTTTCTCTCTCTTTTGTTTTTGTGTACTTCTTTGTTAATGGTTTTTTATATATTCGTTGACGGAAAGAGATATCTCGCATTCGACGAAAATAGGTTACGCGAACGACCGCTAGCAATTTTCTCTAGGCTTATTTGCGAATCGATCCGGGTTAGTTTGAACGATATAATCGGAAATTGGGAGCTTCTCGTTGGTCAAAGCCAGTCGATTAAGGAGATTTTCTGCTCGGGATGGACACGATTCGTTCGGTTTCGATGCCGCGTTAAAATTCTCCCTACCAGGTTCGAACAAATTCCCGGCACTTTGTCTTGGATATAGACACGGTTAAATGCAGCGAAAAAGAAAAGACAGCCGGATGACGGGATGGAATTGGAGGAGAAACGAAAAGAGTGGAGGGAGGAGAACGACAGAAAATTTATGAGTCGGAGCACGGCAGGTCGGTCGGATATACCTATGTGGCGTGCGAGATTAATATTACTTTATGAATCCTAAGAAGCTTATGAAAACCCTGTCAAGTTAATAAATCGATAAAGTTTTCCCACTTTATCGCGCGTTCGTGCGCGCCAACCGGTGCAACGAGGACCGGAGAAACGGAGAGAAAAATTGCGGGGGACAGAGAAAGAGAGTCATTTCGAGCGTGTCGTTTCAACGCGACCGCTTTCAAATAACCGAGAAAATAAAAGGGTTCTCGCGTATATTCTTACGCGACTCGTTCGCAAGATTGATTCTAACGACGACGCGTGCCGCTCGATCGTTGCGACGTAGCGACTCTTCGAACGAGGATTATCCTTTCGAACGCGTCGAGAAATCGACCCACTCTTCGTCGCATTCCTAAGGATCGTCTTTATTTTCGTGGTCACGCCGGAACGTTTATTGCGGCTGCAGTTTATTGCGGGTTATCCGTTGCTCTGCACCGGCCAGTTATCACGTTCGTTTATTTATAAGGCCACTTTATGACCGTCCATTTACCGCATACGTAATAACGATAGCGGCGTTTTAATTGCAGCGCCAAACTTTGTCAGCTCCATGTCCCAGGGAGATTTTGTCTACTTCTTCTTCCGGGAGACTGCCGTGGAATATATGAATTGCGGCAAGGTACGTAACCGTTTATACTCTATCGAGCGAAGATTCTTGCAACGTAGAGCTTTCGTTTCTTTTTACAGACCGTTTATTCTCGCGTGGCGAGAGTCTGTAAATACGATCGCGGTGGTCCGCATCGATACCGCAATAGATGGACCTCGTTCCTAAAATCCCGTCTCAATTGTTCCGTCACCGGAGACTTTCCTTTTTACTTCAACGAAATACGTAAGTACACGAGCGTTCGCGGAATCGATCTCCGGCTCGTTCCGCTCACGGACCATCTCGATGTCGCTCGATTCACCGAGTGTTTTAAACGTTACGACGTTCTGGAACACGTTCCAGAGAGAATCCGGGAAATATATGTTCCCAACGGGTTCGCTCGTAAACGTCCGATGGTACGGAGCGAACGAGGCCACGCAAACAAAAGAGCCTCGAAATCACGAGGCATGCATTATTTGCAGAATCAACGACGGAATTGATATCGGGTCAGTACGGCAATACGTCGGCGCAGCTGATATACGGCACGTTTACCACGCCGGTGAACAGCATCAGCGGATCGGCCGTTTGCGCTTTCTCCTTGCAGGACATCACCGACACGTTCAAGGGTAACTTCAAGGAGCAAAGCGCTATCAACTCGAACTGGTTACCCGTGCAGAGCGCCAAGGTGCCCGACCCGAGACCCGGTCAATGCGTCAACGACTCTCACGCGCTGCCTGACCTGACCCTCAACTTTATTCACACTCACTCTCTCATGGACGAGTTGGTGCCCAGCTTCTTCGGTCAGCCCATCGTCATCCGCACCAGTTTTCAGTAAGTGGAAACGCTCGCGACCAGTCCGAGCTCTCCGAGTTTTGCCGTGTAGGCTCAGGTGCGGCTTATCGACCGACTCGTATGAATTTATATCGAGGTTTCGTAAGTAGGCTGCTGCTCCAACGGAGAAGGGTCCACAGTCGATTAAAGCGTCGAAACTTGGCAAGGCAGTAACAAGAGCTCATTATCGATTAACGAGCACGCTTTATACTCTCGGGCTTGGGCAACGTTACTCGATCAAATAACCAGCGCGGTGGTCAAACTTGGATACCGGGTCACGTCGAGATCCTTACAGCGCCGTTTGCTCTTATCGAGAAATTTCCCGTTTCCACGGCAACGCAAAAACTCATAAGAGTCTCCCCTCAGTTACAGATTCACGCAGATCGCCGTGGATCCCCAAGTGAAGACACCGGGTGGTAAAACGTACGACGTGTTGTTCATCGGCACCGACAACGGTAAAGTGATCAAGGCGATAAACGCGGAATCGGCCGACACCCATCTGAAGGTCAGCCCGGTGGTGATCGAGGAGATTCAGGCGTTCCCTTCGACGGTGCCCGTGCGCGGAATCAAAGTCGTGAGAGCCTCGCAAGCCGGAGACGGCCTCGAGGATGGCAGACTGGTCGTGATAGCCGACAGTCAAGTCCAAGCCCTCAGGCTGCATCGGTGCTACAGCGACAGGATATTGTCGTGCGGCGAATGCGTGGCCTTGCAGGATCCCTACTGTGCCTGGGACAAGGTGGAGGGCAAGTGCAGGGCCTTGGTTGGACCAGCGGCCACCGACGCGAGCAGATTCCTCCAGAGCATCGCGACTGGTATGCACGTTTCTTGTCCACCGAGCAAAAGTCTGAACAAGGACGCGGGCAGCGTCGGCGCCATTTCCGCGAACCAGAATAAATTCCCGCCAGACTCGATGATTCCCAACAAAGATAGTCCGGGAGGGGAGATCATCAACATCATGCAGGACGAGGAACAGGACAGTTCAGGTAGCGCGAGATCGAAATCGCGGACAACTCGAACGGTGTAAATCGTTTTCGAGACTTGCCGGTATACGCGTTTCTCTCCTGAAACGGTCGAATCGTTACAGGCCCGGAAGTGTCCGCGGCAGACTCGCCACCCCCGCAGTACTCCGTGGAAACTCTTGTAATGGCCGTGGTCGCTGGCGCATTGGCGGCCCTGTTGGTCGGTTTCGTAGCAGGTTACCTGTGCGGCAGAAAGTGCAGAAAGGACGAGGACGACAACCTGCCATACCCGGACACGGAGTACGAGTATTTCGAGCAACGGCAAAACGTGAACAGGTGAGCTAGAAAAATTGAATTTCAAAGCCGTAAGCAAAGTTCGCGTTGTCGACGCGACGAGTGCGTTGAATCGTTGCGATTGTTACGTTGCAGCAGGTTAGCGCCCGAGCCGAAACTGCTGCCCCAGGAGGAAGTAACGTACGCGGAGCCGGTGTTGGTGCCCCAGCCTCCGAAGTTGCACTCGCCGAAAGGCACGATGCGAAAACCACCGCCTACGCCGACGGAAACGCTGTTCCAATTTCCAGACGGTTACGGGTTCCGCGGTCCCAGGGATAATTTCGGCACCTTGCGATCTCATCAGGGCGACGCGTATCGGCGCAACGACGGGTTCGCGACCACCCGCAGCGTAAAGAAGGTTTATCTCTGAGAAACGAGCGAGGAGGGAGGTGGGTCACCGGAGCTTAGGACGGCCAGCACGCAATCGCCACAACGCGACGACAGCGGCAAGGAGTAGTCGCGCTGTGACATCCGGAGGACAGTCGAATCGCGAGCTCGCGGGTCCGAGGGCACTAGAATCACCCACGCCGCCTTCCAGCGTTTCGTCCAGTTCTCCGTCGCCTCCCTCCTCGTCACCTTCGCCCACACTCGTACCGATCGCCATGAGCGGTGCTTCGCCGCCACCGCCAACGCCGCCCTGCAGCTTCATCTATCGGTCATAGTCGTCGTCGTCGTCGGCGTCGGCTTCCTCGCCGCCGCCGTCGTACTCCGCCTCTTGTTACACGCGACGCCAGCAGCCGGGACACCGTTCTACGGACCTACCGCGCGTTCCGATCCTTTGTAATTAAGCGAGAGCCGTGCCGCTTCGATTTCATCGAGACACGGCGCACCCTGCTGCCACGCGTTTCCACGTTTTCCTTTCGTTGCGAGTTCCTTGCGTTTTTCGCTTACGCTCCTCGTTTTCGTTGCGCTTCGCGCGGCCAGCTATCGTCCGCGGCACGAGAACAGTCGCGATCCATTCGCGGAACGCGGAAACGGAATTCCGCGTTTCGAAAGCCGAGAGAACGCGACGTTGCGATCTCCGTCGGTTTTTCGATTGATCGTTCCCACCGAAAAACCAAAAGAATAAGCGCGTCTATAGTATTACGGCAAGGTTTCTTCTCGTCAAGTCAATTAAAAGAGACTATCGTCGGACTCGACTTGCGATTTTTCTAATGTTATAATATTTAACGCGAGTGATCGACAGTGCCATTATCGTTCGCGTAATACTATCGCGTGCCTCTTGAAATTGCATAAGGGATGAATTTGGATGTCTCTCTCGATCGATCGAGAGAGAGAGCGAGAGAGAGAGAGGGAGAGAGAGAGAGAGAGAGAGAGAGAGAGAGAGAAAGAAAGAGAGAGATAGGAGGAAATTTCGCTGGTCGACGAGGAAACGGATAGAACAAGGCGAAACTCGTTGCGTGCGTGTATGTTTATTATTGGATTAGACATCGTAGGAACACGATCGTTGCATCCTGTATCGATCACGGAGATCGCCGCGTTGCCTTTCGGGGATGGCTCGTTTTCATCGGAAACGAGTCTCTATTACCGCGGTTCGGTAAAACGAGCAAAGATACCGTCGAGAGTATTCCTAAGTTTTTCTCGTACCTTTCGGTAACGCGCATTTCATCGGCTGCACATATACGTAATAGGAAAAACGAGAAGAGAGTCAAGGGAAGAGAGAGAGAGAGATAAAAAAGACTTCCTTCGTGGAAGTCAGCGAAAGAGGAAAAAGGATGGAAAAAGGGAGCGAAAGCACACGAGGCTTGTATGTAAATAGTACGTATATACAAAGAAAAAATAGATAATATAACATATACAACGGTTTAAAGGTTATATGAGCGGCAAATGGGGGATGACGGGAAGGAAAATCAGTCCATCTAAGAGATCTTGGGCCCGATGGTACACGTAGACATCTATCTTAAAGTGCTTCTTATTTCAGTGTGTTTAGAAGTAACGCGTATGTGATATATACTATATGACACGAGGTGTTTTTCTAGGCGTTCAGAGAAAAGGGGTCGAGAAAGCGAGATAAAAGGACACGATGCACAGGTACAGGGATGCACACTAGAGCGACTCTTTTTTCTTTGTTCTTTTCGTTTCTATTGTTCGACACGCACACGACACCGAATATACACGACAAACGGATTCGTACGTTTGTCACAACGTTTCCCCGATCACTTTGCCAATCGAACCAACCGGCGCTCGATAACGCGAAACATTCGGTTCGATAAATATTCGTCGTTAATTCTCGCAAAAGTACTTTCGAATACCAAAAAAATATATATGTATGCGGTATCGGTTGGCAAAGCGTTGTTATCGGCCGCTATCGGTTAATCGATCGCTCGATCGATCGATACATTCGATCGAGAAACGAAGACCCGCCCTCACATTCATCCCCTTCGAAACGGTAAGACTGAAAAGATTCCCCGCGAAGGGCGGGTTCCTTTATCCGTTCTTAGAGTAACAGTTAGATCGACTCATCGAACGCGGTTTCCTTTGTCGACACAGTACAAATTTTCGTCGTGTTCCTTCTAACGATATCGCTTTGATTTCGCGCGCGCGATTCCGCTATTTTCCAACCGTTACGCGCGGCAAAATAGCCACGAGAAGAAAGAGGCTGGAACAAGCGTAGCGTCTCACTCGCGATACCAAAGTTTCACAAGAGAGGGGAACTCGATTAACACACGTGAACAGACACACACAGGACAGTCGCATAGACGCGAGGCGCGAAGATTTCGCGCGTTTCAAAGCTGCCATGTATAATCGAATCGACGTTGTTCTCGTCGGATCGTTCGAGAAAATAAATGACAAAAAACCAGAGAAAAATTATCAGAGTGCATGTACCTCCGGTGCGGGTAATGTATTTAACGGATTGCTTTCTCGCGTCGTTCGACGAGGTACGGTTTTTCTAAGTTCGATACGATGGAAACGGGATTCGCATTTTATTCCGGTTGAGATTAAACCGAAACATCCCTTTTGCGTGATCTTTTTCGCGAATGAAAGACTCAGGCAGGATACCAAAGATATTAATCGTAAACTAGATACATCCGTTGATCATCGCGATGACGACGATAACGATCGAAGAGGCGCACAAAACGTTCAGGGATGATTAAGCGAGTCCCTTGCACAAACATCGAACCGCGAGAAATTGTTTGCAGGCAACGAAATGGCCTCGAAACGAACCGAACGGTTCTTTTCATCGTCGTTTACGCCCCCTTTTAAAACGTTTACCGTTCACGACCCTTCTTTACGATTAACTTTTTGCCTTACAGTTTCTTTTAACGATTGAGCACGTTGTTTGGTGGTCGAATGCAAGGACAAATCTAACCCGATTCTAGTTCTTTTGATACTATGCTGTGTACCGATACTACGCGAGGCGATACGAGCCTGACAATCTAACACGAGGCAATAGATACGGCGTAACACGTGGGACTCGACCCGAACGATTATTAGATCGTAGGGTCGAATGCTTCGTGATTTTTATAGCAATTTAATACGCCAGGGTGAACTACTTGTCGCTGGCACCCCGAGACAGACGGACAAAAACTGAAATACTGTATATAACCTCTCTTCGTAAACCGTCAACGTCTTTTAACGGCATTTAAAGTTTTAATTAAAAATTTCATTACTCGGGGAATAGCATTTATTTTAGAATATAATATGAAACGCGACTGCCATCCAACGTTAATAATCCGAGGCATAAGGTTAATGTCGTTTACCCCCCACTTTATGTGTTCATCGCGAGACTAACTTACCGTTTTCCCTACGATTAATGTTAAGAAGAGGGTGCAAACGACGGATTAGATCAGTTTGAAACGACCACGTTAAAGATCGAGGAAAATGGAGAACGTTGGAATCAAGTAATGCATGAAAGGCTGCGAGAGACGAAACGTTGCAGAGATATTTTTCGAGACGATAGCAGCGTGTTGGAACAATAAGAGAAGCGAGACAAACTAATGGAAATAAGGGTGGGAACATTGCGGCGAAGAGATCAGAATTCTATAATTTTAATGATATTATTATTATTAAAAAGGAACGTTGATAGATACATGTAATAAAAATTAAAAGGGACAAAACGGGGGAGGGAGAATTTGACGATGGTTCGTGTTAAACGTGTTCAAAGGAGCTCTCGCGCGTTCGCGTCGTTTTAAAAAGCCAATAAGGAACGGATTCCATCCAAGATACAAAAAGAAAGATTAATTCGTTTGTTGCGTGGAGAAATTTTCGTTTCTCTTTTTTTCCGAGGATCGAACGAATCGAGAAACGGAGAAAATATTTTCCGGCAGAATAATAAGAAATTTTGGTTGTCGATGCGTCGCGAGAAACGGGACGCGATGATTTTCATGCATTATTTCATTTCAATCGCTTAGAGAAGCCCGAGCTTTTTCGTTTTCCTTTTTGGGATCTGTACATTTCCAAGGGCAGAGCGAAACAAGACGCAAGGAAGGAAAGAACGCGAAAGGGGAAAACGAGAAAAAGGAAGAGAGAAAGAGAGAAAGAGAGAATGCGCGTGTGCTTGGGCGTGGATAAGTTTAGCCAGTTATTATTACGATTATAAATTGATAAGAAAAAAATTAGGTAGAAACTCGGAGCGTCCACGTTTTGATAGAGAACGTTTCCGATTAGAGAACGCAAGCATGTATGGGACAAGAGATTTGACGATGAAAGCTTAGACATAAGTAGAGGATTAGCAAACAGTATATATATATATACATATATATGTATATAAATATAAATATAAATATATAAATAAATATAAATATAAATAAAAATATATATATATGTATATGTATATATATATATAGAACGCTTGAAACGTATATTAATATTATAACTTTTTATAAATATATTTTTCCGTCGAAGTCTAGCCTAGTTGGATACATACACGGTTATTAACGACTATTAATTTATCCGATCTTGATTATTAATATCGAGAATCTAGCGTTAATTCGAACACATTTTAGACGTCATAGTTTTACATGATAGGCAAACGTTGTACGAAATTGTAAACGACGGGGAAGGGGGGATAAAAGAGAGGGAAGATTGATAATGATGAAACACATTAGTACCTAAAGTTATGAAAAATTTAACTACTAGCGTTGAGCCATCGTTGAAAAAGTGATCGCTTCGCGACCGATCGATCGAATTTCGTAGAAACATTCGAAGTCGAGTAACGGCGTCCGGGAAATTGTTCGCGTACGAGGTAAATCGGTCGATGCGATCGCGAAACGATCAGAACCGCACTTTTTCGCGCTTTGTAATTAAGTGAGAGACAAAAAGAAACAGGACACGATCGAGAAAAGTTAGCGATTTAGATGAGAGAGCAGTGAGAGAGCGAAAGAGAGTGCACGTATATACACGTATAAATATGTAGTCTGACATGTACGCGAATCATTCGTTTCTTTTCTCTTCTTCTGTTTCCTCTTGGTTTTGCCAGAGAAAAGGATAGAGCGCGAGTGAAAAAGAGAAAGAAACGGGATCGAAGTAAAAGAACGAGAGCCCCGGGTTCCTCCGCGCAAGAACGAATTCCATCACCGAGGAAGAACGCTTCGACCGTAGGGTTCTCGTTCGTTGCGCTGATCACCGCATTTAACACTAATTAATAATTACCGTTAACTACCAAGTAATAATCATACTGTTAACTAAAACATAAAAAAGAAGATAAACGATCGCGATAATGCCGGACGGTGATTTTTAAAAATGAGCGAAAGAAAGAAAAAGAAGACGAAGGATACTATATAAGTATTATCAACGACAAAGTAACGAGAACGTAACACGTATTTTGCTTCTTCCTAATACAGTGCCGTTTACGCTATTTTTTACTGTAACTGATAGAGAAACAAAAAAAAAATTACATTCGGCCAAGGGGTGTGCGCGCGGCATGCCAAAGGAGGTGAACGCGTCGCCACTTTTGCAACAAAATAACCGCGAAAAATGCGTGCGTGCGTGCGAGTGAGAGATAGGAAGAGAGCGAGAGAGAGAGAGAGAGAGAGAGAGAGAGAGAGAGAGAGAGAGAGAGAGAGAGAGAGAGAGAGAGAGAGAGAGAGAGAGAGAGAGAGAGAGAGAGAGAGAGAGAGAGAGAGAGAGAGAGAGAGAGAGAGAGAGAGAGAGAGAGAGAGAGAGAGAGAGAGAGAGAGAGAGAGAGAGAGAGAGAGAGAGAGAGAGAGAGAGAGAGAGAGAGAGAGAGAGAGAGAGAGAGAGAGAGAGAGAGAGAGAGAGAGAGAGAGAGAGAGAGAGAGAGAGAGAGAGAGAGAGAGAGAGAGAGAGAGAGAGAGAGAGAGAGAGAGAGAGAGAGAGAGAGAGAGAGAGAGAGAGAGAGAGAGAGAGAGAGAGAGAGAGAGAGAGAGAGAGAGAGAGAGAGAGAGAGAGAGAGAGAGAGAGAGAGAGAGAGAGAGAGAGAGAGAGAGAGAGAGAGAGAGAGAGAGAGAGAGAGAGAGAGAGAGAGAGAGAGAGAGAGAGAGAGAGAGAGAGAGAGAGAGAGAGAGAGAGAGAGAGAGAGAGAGAGAGAGAGAGAGAGAGAGAGAGAGAGAGAGAGAGAGAGAGAGAGAGAGAGAGAGAGAGAGAGAGAGAGAGAGAGAGAGAGAGAGAGAGAGAGAGAGAGAGAGAGAAAGAATGCGTATGAAAGTAACGAAGAATGAAAGAGCAAGAGTTTTAGACAAAGATCTTTGGAATACGCGACTCTGGCGCGTTTAATCGAATAAGAAAAATCGAGGTCGATTAGTCGATGCTCGTAGCGCTTCGTTAACGACGCTACGGTTCCTTCTTGGAGCGTGTTCGCGTAACTCGTGAATTATCGTAGAATTTACGTCCTCGTCCGTCACGACACGCCCGAACCGCTCCGTTTTCAATCTCGCCTAATCCGCCTCGTTTTTTTCTTTTTGTCCATGCCACGTCGATGTTTCTGTCCCTTTGCTCGGCCGAAGCACATCCACTGTCAATTATACAAGGAACTAAGCGGCATAATTTTTAGTCGTTCTGTCGCGTAATTCTTGCAAACTCTACCCTGTCTTGTAAACTTTTTCTTCCCGGTTCTTTAGTACGGCGAACAAAAACGGGCTACCTAAAACGACCGCGTGCAAAGGGATAGAAATATATATTCTTTATTGTTTGTTCGGAAAACAGGAAGGGTACGGACAGAGAGCCTTTCGCTCTTGCGCCATTCGAAACCGAAGCGAATGATACCGTATGGAAGAAAAAATGAAAAGGGAACGTTTTTGACGCGACGTCACGACGTCGCGAGAAATTCCATTTGTTCAAGGTACTCCTCGGCACGAGGTTCGCCACACGGGGCGGGGGGTCGTAATCGATTTTTAAAAAAGAATATGTAATAACCGGCAGGATGAATAATAATTAACGATAATATTAATAATACTAATAATAGCTGCATTAATACCGACGGTATATTATTGCCGATAATTATATTGTAACGACACGAGAATGATATTATGATAATACTCTTTATAAACGCAGAGAAGAGCGAATGAAAGAACGAGAGAACGACGGCACGAGAGAGAAAGAAAAAGCGAGAAAGATGCGTAAATGCGAGGGTGCGAGAGTGGTTAAAAATAATAACGACGACGATGAGAGAACGATATAAGTAGTGTTTTTTCGCAGTAGCCTGACGGTAGAGACACGGCACGTCTAATATTAACGAACAAATTTAAGAAAAATAATAATAATGATAACGATAATGATAACGATAACGATAACGATAATTAAAACGGTAAAGTAAAACAATATCATAACGTGAAAAAAAGGTACTGTAGTGATTTACTATCGGCTGACACGTAGCGTGAATGCTGACATAGGAGAAGCATGCTGGCAACGAGTGTTTTTGCGTAATTCCGAGACGAACGGTTCGCTTTCGTCCTTCCTTGTCTTACGATGTTTAATCGATGCGCGTAGCTCGACGCGTTCCGTTTTTCGCGGTTCGCTACTGGTCCACGGCTGCGATCCACCGATCGAGACATCGCTCCGCGTCGCCGTTAAACGAATTCATTCTCTGTACGCGGTATCGTACAGGTACGAGTATTTTTCGATTCATTCATAAGGCCCCGACAAGTTTCGAACGTGTCCTCGCGAATGTTCGCGTCGACGTAGTACCGTGAAAGTCGAAAGAAATAACCGGGAAGAAAAAGGAAGCACAAAGCTGGAAACAAGACAAAGACTTTTCGTCGCGCGACGCTTGCTTTGCCATAAAGAAAAAGCGAAGAAGAAGCCAGAGAGAAAAAGACTCGTTTCCATTACCGTATTGCGTCTGTTATGCCCGACATAGTTCGCTGTTAAAGAAAAAAAGAAGGGAAGGACAGGATACTCGTGACGGAAGCGTAGCGAAGTACCGGAAACGGAGTACGACAAGGAACGGAGAGCGAACCGACGAAAAGATGGTGAACGAGAAATATCGAGAAAGACAGAGAGAAAGTGAGAGCGCGAGAGAGAATGAAAGGGTGGCGAGCGAGGATGAGAGAATGAGAAGGAGCGATTGTAGATTCGGAAAGTCACTTAGCCAGCAGACTGCTGTTCATAGTGCCCTGTTATAGTGGGTTCCCTAGGCAGAGTGGCAGAGACACGATCGAGAAGCGAACACGAAAGAACGAAAGAAAAAGACGAAGGGAAAATTCGAACGCGTTGTTTCCAACCTTTATCTTCTTTTCGCTCGAATATCAACTTTCGCGCCGCGATCGTTCGAAAGTTACGAGACTGTACAACGTGTTCCGTTGTAACTTCACATTTCTGTAAACATTTTAACCAAACGTCAAATTGATTTATCGATAACGCGATTATCGTTGATAACCTAACCTTATATCTGTAGTGGTAATTTTTTATCGATAAACTTAGCCAATTTCGTTTTCGAGAGAGATTTCTTCTTGTCAAAGGAACCACGTAGTTTTTCCTAAAAAAAAAAAAAATATCTCGCGACCGAGAATATTTTGATAGATACGGATTCGACGAATGACAAGGTGCTCCGCTCTCTGCCCACGGGACCCTGATCTATTTTTCAGAATACGCTATTGTGATTATTACTTATATGATAATATTTAAAGAAAATAACAAAAAAAGAAAAAAGAAGAAACCATTAAAAGCAGAAAAAATACCTTGTACTATTGTTTATTATACGATTCTGACGATGATTATTTGTAATGTTAATAATCTATATTAACGATAATTACCGCATTAATACCATTATTATATTTAGTACTATTTAGAGAGTGAGGCTGCTACTATATTAATGACTTAAGTACTAAGTAACGGATTAAGTAATTCATTAGACTTTATATATAAATATATAAATATTACTAAAACATACTCTTCGCGTCGAACTGCGTTTATCGGTTTTTCTCTTCGTATACACGTTGATTTCCTATACATATACGGAAATATATAAATAAATAAATAAATATATATATATATACATACATATATATATATATATAAATATAAATATACATAAAGTATTTAATAATCACAGTACGACTGCCTCTGACTCGACTTTCTTTCTTTTCCGGCCGCGCTTGTTCAGTCGGCGTTTAAGAGAACGGTTCTTTCGTTTCACCTATTTACATTCGACGACTACGTTATTTTATATATCGTAATAGACATAGACTGTACCACGAAATATTAAGTAAAAATAAATTTGATTAGGTAATACGACGATGTTTCATTTCAGCGTTCCCGACCACGATTGTTCAAGTCCTTCAAAATATCCTCGTATCCCGACCTTTTTAAAACACAATTTCAATGTTTTAAATCGAGTAAATTTTGACGTTAGGACAACAGTTTGCTCGACAATATGTAGAATTACGTACATATATCGTAGCTAAAGATACTTCAGGAGCAGGAAATAGGAATTCGCTTATCTGGAATGTCAGAAATGAATCGAAACCATGTTCATTTTTATCCACCTTTATTTAATCGTAGCACATACTATTTTAAAGATTCGTAAGTACGATGTAGATAAAAAAGTACAAATATTTACAAAATACTGTAAAAAAGAAATCGATTAGAAAAACGCGTAGGGATATGAAAGGTCGTTTTCTTTCGTTTTAAAAATGGATCTTGCGTTCGCTGCTCGCTTATATCGTTCTCACCGTGTATGACTAGACATCAGACGTATAGTAGGTCGCTTTGTTAAAAAACACCTTTTCTCTTATTTTTTTTTTATTTCAGTCTAGGTGTTGTATCAACACTCCCTTGTTCTCTTTAAAACCTCTCTCTTTAAAGCACGATAAAATGGATCGTATTCATAGAGCAGAATTCAATTCTAATTAGGATTTTAAACGTAAATCAGAACATTATTTAGATCTCCGGTTACTAAATCAGCAAAATTTGGAATATCCAATCGCTAAAGAATCGTGAAGGCAAGAAATTAATAACTAACGCAAGAGTCGTTTCGCAGCGGTTAAAAGAGAAATTGAAAGCCTAATTCACACCTACACGTTAAACGTTGTTCATTGGTGTGAAACAGGCTTAAGGGTTGACGATCACAACACCGGAAAGATTCGATCGGCGAATGATACGAGAGCACACAGTCAGAACTCGTCAGAATTGAATAATGATATACGAAATGTCAGCGAAGTGGCTGCAAGGTATGTTCCTAACGCACTTTATATTACAAGAATATTCCTTGGCCTATTACTGCGAACACTTAGGAAGCATCTGAACATTCAGGACGTTTGCAAGCGAACGTTGTTCGTCGATCGACTATATTATCGTATCTAACGGTTTCTATTATCGTCCGAACATTTTTTTCATAGGAATTCCGAACAACGACTATCGTCGTCGTAGCGTTTCAATCGTCGAAATTTCCTTCGCACAGAAGTTATAATCGTTGGTAAAAATATTTCGAGAAATCGACGACAACGTTCAAAACCCTTGCAAAATGTGCGGGCTCGTAATGGAAAAGGAATCGATAGTCAAATTGCATCGATCTTCTCTCACGGTGCCTTCGACACGACGAAGAATGGGGTGTATATTAAATTAGGGAATGGTCGTATTCGCTATGATTATGAAAACCTTTAACGTTAAAGAGATTACTCGTTGGCAGTGTTTACCTTAGCGTCTCGTACATCTAAATGCGTATATGATACATTATATATTTTATGTTGCGTATACGTGTGCAGAGCTGAGGAATACTTTGAATACTGATCGACCACCTCTCGTGTTTTCCAGCCAACATCGTGATACGGAGTACAGTAAGTATCGAAAACGCGTTAACTGCCACATTACGCGTATCCGAATTTCTCATCTCGTACATATAACGCAATCGTATCTACCAAATACCATGCTACCAAGTATTACTTCTTGTAGTTGTTTCTGAATCGAATCTGGCTCGGACACGTATAACGTGGCAGTCGCGGCGTTAAACAATTTATTTTTCTTTCGTTCGATTCTAGAAGCAATCTTCGCTTCGACGTTGACAGCTCTGTACGTGTACGTGTTTCCTCGCGTGAGCCATGATAGTCATCGTAACGGCATATCCGATGCTCTTGATTTACCGTCATCTGTAATCTCCCTCTGTGATTTGATATTCCCGAGCTCTTCTCGAATGCGAAATGGAAAATCCTATAAACGCAAAAACGTAACACGCGACTCGAGAAAACGAAATGCATCGAGCCGCGTGTCGTATCTCGTACGAAATGAAAAGAAACGAAACGAAATTTCGGCTTCGTTGTACAAATTTCGTGATATGGACGGTCGAAGTGTCCAATTATTCGAGGACGTTCGACACGACAGATTCTTAATCTATTCGTTCTCGAATAGCAAAAATAGGCTCTAAGATAGTGCTCGATATAAAACTTGGGTTTTTCTTTCAGCCTTGTTCGTCTAGCAAAGATAACGAGAAGAATAGCATGGCAAAAGTTGAATCTCGCGATTAGTACTTAACGAATGAGCTTACGTTCATACCCACGGTATGTACAAGACCGTTTTATTTATCCTCTTCGAGTCGATATCGAGAAATCGCTCCTGTCTTTCTTTCTTTCGATCATCCTTTACTTTTTTTCATTTCTCGTACTGTTGTACAAGGTGATCCAAGCGTCGTAAAACGATTATCGAATTCGTGACCCTTCCGGTATTAAATTCTTCCTCGATTTCCATCCAACAATCAAACTAAATCACAGACATACGTAAGTAGTTGTATCGACACGTCCAAGGCGCTCGCATCGCATCAATCGCGTAAACACTTTCTCGAAGGGTCGAAAATATTCGTCGTTTCGACTACCTCGCCCACCCCGTACACGTACATTCCTATCTACAAGGTATCGCACAGGTCTTCGTGAAATTTTGCCGATGATTTTCGTTACCTAAAAATCGATGAGAATTTGCTAGAAATACGCGTTACGCGGTACAAATCTCTCGTATTTTCACTGTGTCCAGTTTAATAGAGTCTCTTCGTCTTGTATTTAGTCGGACACTATCGGTAAAATTTGTAAGAAAAACCTGTCGAATACCCTGTACATTATACATATATATATATATTTATATATTTATATGTGTTACGTGTCAGACGCAAACATGTACGCTATATAAATAATTCTTAAGCCTTAGACCTTAACAGAGTACAACGAGGGCAGACGTGAATTAGGCGGTTATAAAAAACTTGTCGTTCGTTCAACGTTGATATGGTCTTGATACTTTCGTAGCTTGCGATCTCTTGCCGTGACGACAATATAATATGTATATGTATTTACGTAGCGGTGTTCTTAACGAGTATTCGATGTGCGATGATCGATATATACCCTATATATATTAAGCGTGAGCAAAAGTTTTAGTCTTTTTATTCAGTCTTTTTAGAAGCACACTGGGCAAAATATCGGATATAGTAACGTCCTACCGAAGCGGAACAATACGTTGGTCGAAGTCCGTGTCGAAACGTTGTTAGAATAGAAAAATCGAAAACCGAGGTTCATCCGGTAAGGAGGGCTAAAACTTTTGCACACCCGTAACGCGTATCGTTACACTGATATTCGATAGTAGATAGACTATAATATTGCGTTAGTCGTATAATATTGTAGCGTGTACCGTGTGTCCTTACGTTAATTCGACGTTCATAGTCGTTGGAGCGGATGTTTGTTCGGTTACAAATAAATTATTAATCCTTACCGACCTAATGGACGCGACCGAATGACCGTAACACGAGTAACCGTTGCGAGATCGAACCACGAACAGCGTTTCCCTGTCGACCGCGGTATCGCGCGAACGAATGATTACCCCTGTCTCGGCGTATTCGGATTTTAGAGCCTCGTTAGCGTTCTTGGAGTAATCTACAGACAACTGTCGACCACGATTTCACCAATTTTCAAAACAACTTCGTCGAAGGTGGGTCTATCCCGTGGATCGTTGGACCAACACTGAGCTTGGAGCTCCTGCAATGCTGGAGGCGCAGCTTTGTGAGGCTTCCACGCGAGACTCTGAGACTTCAAAGCGGTCAACACGGACTCGTCGTTCATCTTGTTGAACGGCAACTCGCCCTGGTGGAACATCTCCCATACGAGACAGGAGAACGAGTAGACGTCGCTCTTGGTCGAATACTCGTCCTCGTAGACGGCCTCGTACGGTAACCATCTCAGAGGGATCACTTGATTCCGGTGTTTGGTGTACTCCTGCTGGTACGGCTCTTTGGTCATGCAGGGAAACGAGATCTTGATCGTCAGGTTGCTGGCGATCAAACAATTCCGGGCGGCTATGTCTTTGTGAACCAGACGGCTGTCCGCCAGGTGTTTCAACCCTTTCGCCGCCTGATTCGACAGGGAGAGAATCTGCGCGACGGACAGTTGGGGTGCACGCGGAGGTTTCGTCTCCTGGGTGGGACTGGAATTGTTGTCCTTGCGAGAAGCGATCAGAAATTGCTTGAGATCGCCCCAGTCGGTGTACTCGAGGATCATGTAATCGGGTTCCTCTTCGCGGCACAGACCTATCAATTTCACCACGTTCTCGTGACTCAGTTTGTGCAGCAGATCCAGATGACGTTTGAACTCTTGCAGAGCCGTCTCGTCCTTCGTGTTGGTCAGACTCTTCACCATCACCAGGGATTCTTTGTCGCCGTCCACTTGGTACTTGGTCGCGTAGATCTCGCCGAACTCGCCGCGACCGAGAGGCTTCAATTCCTTCAAATTGTCGCGAGAGACGGCGATCTTGTCGTAGTTGGATTTCGATCTCTTCGATTGGTTGCTGCTTTGACTTTGAGCGGTATCGGCGCCGTCGCTCTTGTTATGGGAGTCGCGGTTCTCCTTTTTCTTGCCGGCGCTAGAGTTCATCTTGCTGTTGCCGGTCTCTTTCAGCTCGGTCTGTTCCTCCTGCACCTCGCCGTTCTCCAGTTTCTCTGCGCGATGGTAAGCGTGTTATTTCGAGGCGGTTAGAACGGAATCGAAGTCTGAAACGCTTTCGTGCAGCGATCGAAGCGGATAGATACCTTCAGCCTGCTCTTGGAGGTACTGCTGCTTCCTGCGACGGCGTCGGTAACGACAGTACAGCATCAGGCCGACCACGAGGACCATGTAAGCCGCGGCGGTGCTCAGAGTGATCGTGACGGTCTTGGTCATCATCGATCCGTCGTCCCCGCTTTCGGGATCCATGTCGAATCTGTACGTGTCGCCGGCTAAAACGGAATCGTCGTTTTCCTCTTCGTTTCGAACGTTTCTGGGATAGGAAATGAATTTTATCACGGTAATCGAACACTCACCTTTCACGTTCAACTGGACTTCTTCCCTCTTCAGACCGCCACTGTTGCCCGCCGTACATCCGTACTTGCCCTCGTCGGCCATGTACACTTCCTTGATGTACAAGCTACCGTTTCCCAGCACCTCGAAGCGCGAATTGTTCAGGTTGTTCATACGAGAGTCCCTGTCCCACTGTATGGTGGGTTTAGGGTCGCCGTCCGCGGCACAGTGCAGCATCACCGGGTATCCCTCGATCGCTTCGGTCGGATTCTGCGGTTGAATGGTGAATTTCGGAGCGACTGAAAAGAGCAACGATTCTTTTCAAACGAAATGATTCGCCATCGAGACGCGTACGAACTTTCATCGATTCCTCTCGAAACACTTACTGACTACGTCGATGCTGATCGTGTGGTTGATCGAGCCCTGGGCGTTGCTGGCTATACACGTGTAGCGACCCTTGTCCTCCTCGAGAACGCCATTGAAGTGGAGAGTCCCATTGATATCTTGCACGTGCTTCGGGAATTCCTCGGCCGCCGCTCCTTCCTTGATCCACTTCACCGTCGGATTAGTGGCACCCTGAGACTTGCACGGCACTTTGGCCGTCGACCCAAGCTCCAGTCGCTTGTCCACCGGTTGCGGCGAGAACTTGAGCTTCTCTTCGACCGTCAGGGTAGCCCGCTCGGAGAATATCGAAGGGAAACCTTTCGTCGATATCTCGCACGTGTAACTACCCTTGTCAGACAACTCGACGCTCTTGAAATGCAGGGTCACGTTGCCGTACTGATCGGTTACCCGGTGTCTCGTCGGTCCGCCGCTCTCTTTCAAAGGTTCTCCGTCTTTAAGCCAACGCACGTGGGTCACCGGTGGCTCCATGCCCGAATACGAACACGACAACGTCACGGAATCGCCTTCCATCGCGCTCAGACTCTCCGGCGAACTTATCAGCGTCGGCGGTGCTGCGAACACGGGTATCGAATCGACGGTAAAACGCGTACTTGCGTTGGACAACGATAAGAGTCAAGGTAAGTTAACTTACTGGAGATGAGTACTTGTGCAACCATTTCGGTCTCTCCGGCCATATTCTCGGCAACGCAGGTGTAGTTGCCGTCGTCTTCTCCTATCCGTGCCTTGGCGATGATAAGCGTGTTATCCTGAACGCGCACCGGCCCGGAATCGCTTATGATGTGTCCCTTGGGATCTCTCCAATAGACCTTGGGGGCTGGCAGACCGGACGGTTCCAAACAGCTCACTTGGAGTTCTTGTTCTTCTCCTACCACGGCTACTTGGTTCGACAATATAGGCTCGAACGAGGCAGCGGACAGATTCATCAGATCTGTAAGGAAGGTAAACGTTCCTTGGATTTTTCATGTTCGCGTTAAATATCGACGTTCGATACTTCGAAGCTTTCATTCGATTCGTTATTATCGCTACGATGATAATAATAATAATAATAATAATCGAATAATACGCAAGAAATACTTACAAGCTATTTGAAGATCGACCGTGTAGGCGATGCTGGTTTCTCCCCTTTCCCCGCGACAAGAATAGAAACCTTGATCCCTGTGCTCGGCCGAATGAATCAACAGAGTTCCGTTCTCGAAGATGACCCTCTCGTCGTCGCTTTCCAACGGTCCTATGTCCCTGAAGAACCACTGAACAGAATCCGCGTCTTCGAACACGCAATGGAGAACAGCCGGTTCTCCTCGTTTCGCGATCAGGTTCCGGGGAACGACCTTTATCGTTGCCGTCTCGTTACCGGAGACGATAAGAGGGTAGCTTTCCATTTTTGGCGAAGATCCTGCCTCGTTCTTCGCTAAACAACCGTACATTCCGCTGTCTTCGGGGACGGCTCGATGAACGTGTAGCTTCTTCTTCTTGATATCGATTCGATCGCTTCTAACCAGCGGTTCACGATTTCTGCAAAGGGCGTATCAACGTTTCTCTATCGAATTTTTCGACGAACGCGCATAATTCGTTATCTCGTAACGCATCGAAACGGACAGACATTCGGCTGTCACGACTCGGTAAAGAGGACGATCTGACGTTTAAAAAGGCAATGCCGTATCCGAGGCAATGAATTTCGCGTAAATTACGACGTGCCCTCGACGAGGGTCGAACGCGAAGCGCGAGCAAAACGTGAAAATCACTTCGACGAGGGGTGGTAGCGGAAAACGTCGCTGGATAATTCAAGGGTAGTTACGTAAACGACGGGTGTCAGTTACGCGAAGGATAAAGTTAGTTGGAAGCTGGCGGAGTCGCGAACGCCCCCATCGAGTCGCGGCTTTTCCGCGAACGATCCTCGTCCCGGGGTTATATCGCTACGTTCCGGTAAATAGCTGCGAATTATGTAACTAACTTGAACCACTCGTATTTCATGTCTCCGGATCCATCGACGTGACATCGAAGTTCAACCTCGTCTCCGATACGGATCGCCGACGGTAGTTTCGGCTGTTGCAGCTGCACGCTCGCCTCGCTGATCCCTGAAACAGAGATTCCCGCGGATCGATCAGCCCCAAGCTCTCGCGAATAATTTAACGGTATTCGACGGCGTCTCGTTCCTCTACATCCGCGCGCAACTAAAAATTTTATTCGATATTGGTGAATACTTTTAGAGAGCGAAGTCGTTTTGCCTGATCTCGAACTTTTCCGATGCATCGGTTTCTCGATCATCTGTCCTATAGGACAGCCTACTTCCGAGTGAAACAAAGGCCGATCCAGAGACATAGAAGTCGCCCGGTAAATAACGACGGATCCACTGGCCGGATCGTGGAGGATCGTTTTTAAGAGCAAGGTCGTTCAGGAGGGACAAAAAATCGGCGGTCAGGAAAGCCAGAGCCGAAGGGAATCCTGCTAGTGTATGTATATACTCGTACGTTCGTCCGGTCTTTCCTCGAAAAAACGTCGTTGGGAGAAAGGCAGAAGAGACTTCGGTGGTTCATGAATCCTTAAAACGCGGCCGAAGTTATTTGCCGACGTCTTTCAACAAAGTCTGGGTAAATTAAGAAAAAAGGAGGAAGAAGAACGCCTGGAAGCGTTTGTTCCGCGCAAACCGCGCAAACCGGAGGACATCGTCGAAAGTCGTCGTCGAGGGTACTCTCCTCATTTTTCTTCTTCCTTTTCTTCTTCTTCTTCTTCTTGTTCCTCCTTAAGGATCCTGTCGCGAATGCAGAACGAATCGAACGCGCAAGAAAGGTACAGAAGGAATAGAACGGGAAAGGAAGATCGGGAAAAAACGAAGAAGAAAAGAGAAAAACAGATGACAAGGAGCACGATGTTTTATTCGATTTGATTAAATCCGTGGGTTTCGGAAGGTCGATTTCTTCGCTAGGTTACACGCTCGCTTTCGGCCGGCTGCGCAGAATCCTTTTTCGAGAAAAAAGACCGAGGATGGAATCGAGCTGACATTCTCAGAGAGAGCGAGCATCTTCCACTTCTGCTTCGTCTTCGACTCGCCGGCAATTGCTTTTCCTTCCATTGTCCTACGGACGCTCTGCTGATCCCTGAAACAGAGATTCCCGCGGATCGATCAGCCCCAAGCTCTCGCGAATAATTTAACGGTATTCGACGGCGTCTCGTTCCTCTACATCCGCGCGCAACTAAAAATTTTATTCGATATTGGTGAATACTTTTAGAGAGCGAAGTCGTTTTGCCTGATCTCGAACTTTTCCGATGCATCGGTTTCTCGATCATCTGTCCTATAGGACAGCCTACTTCCGAGTGAAACAAAGGCCGATCCAGAGACATAGAAGTCGCCCGGTAAATAACGACGGATCCACTGGCCGGATCGTGGAGGATCGTTTTTAAGAGCAAGGTCGTTCAGGAGGGACAAAAAATCGGCGGTCAGGAAAGCCAGAGCCGAAGGGAATCCTGCTAGTGTATGTATATACTCGTACGTTCGTCCGGTCTTTCCTCGAAAAAACGTCGTTGGGAGAAAGGCAGAAGAGACTTCGGTGGTTCATGAATCCTTAAAACGCGGCCGAAGTTATTTGCCGACGTCTTTCAACAAAGTCTGGGTAAATTAAGAAAAAAGGAGGAAGAAGAACGCCTGGAAGCGTTTGTTCCGCGCAAACCGCGCAAACCGGAGGACATCGTCGAAAGTCGTCGTCGAGGGTACTCTCCTCATTTTTCTTCTTCCTTTTCTTCTTCTTCTTCTTCTTGTTCCTCCTTAAGGATCCTGTCGCGAATGCAGAACGAATCGAACGCGCAAGAAAGGTACAGAAGGAATAGAACGGGAAAGGAAGATCGGGAAAAAACGAAGAAGAAAAGAGAAAAACAGATGACAAGGAGCACGATGTTTTATTCGATTTGATTAAATCCGTGGGTTTCGGAAGGTCGATTTCTTCGCTAGGTTACACGCTCGCTTTCGGCCGGCTGCGCAGAATCCTTTTTCGAGAAAAAAGACCGAGGATGGAATCGAGCTGACATTCTCAGAGAGAGCGAGCATCTTCCACTTCTGCTTCGTCTTCGACTCGCCGGCAATTGCTTTTCCTTCCATTGTCCTACGGACGCTCTTTCCTCGTTTTGGAATTCCGACCTGCAACCGCGTTTTCCACCGTCTTCTCGACAATGGGATTCTCCCATCGGCCAATCGGCTAATCGAATTTTCCTTGCACGATCATTTTACGGATAGATTTTTTACCTGATCGACGCGATAATTCGATCGCGAAACTCCGACAGGAGGGTTTCTCGAGAACAAAGTATCAAATTACTCCCACCGATAGAGACAACGTCCGTAGCAGCGAACGAAGATTCGCAACTAATTAACCAACTCGTTCAATTTGTTCCTGTAAGTGCTTCTTCCAGCTCAGACTATCAGCCTTCCGGTGATCGATCGGACTTACTTTCGTATTCTTGGCCGCGATCTTATTCCGTGAAGCACGATTTATAAGGACGAGTACCTTTTCATATCGAGCGATAACCACTCGAAAGTAACGTTCGACAAGCAGGAAATTCAGAAGGAGCAGAGATTTCCAAAGGCAGAAACCGCAGACGGGTAAGCTTTCAACGGAGGAGCCAATAACGACTTGATCCCAGGGAGCAAGGAAATTCGAGACAGATATCGGGGGCAACTTACGGACAGTTTACCGGAGACCGTGATCGCGATAAGGCTTCCTTCGTTAATTTAACTCGTTACCCTTCGTCCTTCGACTACATCGATCGTTCGTCGTCCTCGAGACCGGAAGACGCAATTTCTCCCTTCCGTTTCCCACAGATTCTCCCCGATATCTTCGAAACGAAACGCTTGTTCGCGATTGCCAGCACCGATTTTCCTGTTCTCGCCAAGGGACACAAGGAACGTCGACAGAAACGGTCGGTTATCTTCGATTTTCCAATAAGTTTTCGTTTGATTTTCAAACTGTCCGATCGACGAACGAATCGAAGAGATGCAAAAAGGACACGGATCTCGATAACCGAATGAAAAGAAAGAAAACGGCAAGGAGAAAGGAGGGAGAACGGAATTTACTTTACATGGATGCCTGGTTACCCGTGAAATGGAGACGACTACTTCGAGCAACGTATCCCCGAGGTGGCATTATTAACAGCCGACTGGTCCCGCGCAGCCTGTCCAATCCTTTTACTTTTACCCGCGACGACGCTTCTGCCGTCGACGGCTTTTTTTATCGCATCGAACTCGACACGAGCCGAGCCGAGCCGAGCGGAGGCGAGACGAGACGCGACGCGACGCGAGGCGTCGAGAGGCTAAGCTTTTCTATAGTTTCTCGGGGAAATGCGACGACGATCCATCCGCGTTCGAGACCTCCGCCACCTGCGCTCCTTCTACTCCCTTACTACGGGCTGATTACTTTGCGAATTAATCTTTCCCCGCTAATGCACGCGGTTTCTTCCTTTTCTCCTTTTTTCTTTTCTTCTTCATCTACCCGCCTCTTTTTTCGTTAGGCAGAAACGAAGATTGCGCGAGGCGTAAGTCGATAAGCGGGAAACGCTATCCGAATAACGGTCGAGACGAGAATTCGTTAATCGAGAAACCAAATAAAAGCTGGATAAAAACCGGTATCGAGAAAAGTCGAGTAAAATTTCGCGCGTATCGTGGAACTCTGTATCGTGTAACGTTTCGAGGACGATAATCGCGATCCGAAGAACAGGTACAGTGTCGCGCAACGGACGTTTTTCCGTTTCCCTCCCAGCCTTTCCTCGCGGAGTGCCAGGGCCTTGTGGCTGGACGGATTAAAGGGCGGCGTTAAAATGCCCGCGCGCTCTTCTTCGGCATTGAGTCCATTAAGGGGCATTAATCTCGAGGAGTTATCCTCGAGGAGGTAGATATTCGAGGGCTGCCGCGCGTCGTCGACGTACAATGCGACAATAAAGAGTGACAAAGCTCGGAAGGAGGAAGGAAAAGAAGAAGAAAGAAGGAAAGAATGATCGCGAAGGGATAGAAAGGTTGAACGAGGTAGGCGAGGAAGAAGAGAGACGAACGCTTGGACAAGATGTTATAACGTTAAGAGAGAGACGAAGACGAGGAGGCAAAGAGAGGAAGGGGTTGGCAAGAAGGGCTCGTTTGTAATCGCGAAACTCACTTTGCGTCTCTGAGGTCTCCACGAGATTTTGCCCGGCCACTCGACTAGCTTTTTCTCTTACTTCCTCTCTTCGTTTCACCGGCTTTTCCCTTCCCTGTCCTTCTCGAGCACCGTTCCTCTCTTTCCGCTACTCGGAAAGCCGTGTTTAAATGCACAAACGAAGCGAAAGATCAAAGACGCCGCAGCGCCGACAGGGCGTGAGCGAGAAGAAGCTTGCCGAAGCAGAGAGGGAGAGAGCAACGTTTATTATTATCATCGTGTACGAAGCCAACGTCCAACCGCGTTCCCCTACCTTCCTAGACGTTTCTTCTCGCTTCTCGTTACTCGCAGCATCCACTAACCAACCGGTCGAGATTAACTTTCGCGTAAACGGCGAGGAAGAAGGCGCGTGCGTACCGAACGCGACCCGCTCGGCGCCTCGACCTTGGATCGAAGCCCGACCCTCGAATCTTCGACCCTTTCTTCTTCTTCCGGCACGACCAACTTTCTCTCCTAACGGGAACACCGCTGCTGCGAACCTTGTGCACCGTGTATCTCGATTTTACGACTTTGGAACCGACTTTATTCCAATTACCCGACGTTTCAACTTTCCGCTCGCTATTACGCGTTCGATCGAATGCTCCGAAATTACGCTCTAGCGAGGCCTGAAGAAGAGAAATTCGCGTAGAACGGATTCCGAGAACGTTTAGCCGAGAAAATAGTTTGAAATCAAAAGAGCTCTGTCCCGGGGGAATAAAAAGCTTGGTCGAGTACTAACGAGCCGTCTGGCTCTGTCGGATGTAACGCGATATTCCTTTTTCCAAGGGGGAGATCAGAAACGGATCGAGAACTCGTCGACAGATGCGTGTAATCTTCCGGGGGAGTTTCGTACGCCACCGCACGGACCACCCAGACACGATGCGATGCTACGCACAGTGGTTAAAGTCGACCTGTGACCAGACCAG